TTTATATCCATGCCTCCAAAAATAACTGCTATTTCTTTGATTTGTCCCCACTGAAATGCCCACTAAGTCTCACTTGATTTCAAATATTCACTTTTTAGATTGAAACATAATGCATTAAGAATAGACATATATAGAGGCACCAGGATGGCTCAGCTGCTTAAGCGTCTGATTTCGACTCAGGTCATGATCTCACTGTTGGTGAGTTCAAGCCCCACGTCAGGCTCTGTGCTGACAGCCTGGAGCCTGTGTCAGGTCTGTGTCCCCCTCTCTCTGCCCCTCCCTTACTCACACTCTGTCTCTCTCTTTCTCTCTCTTTCAAAAATAAGTAAACATTAATTTTTTTTAAGAATACACACGCGCGCGCGCACACACACACACACACACACACAAAAGAACAGACATACAGACAGAATATACCTTAGTCATTGCATGGGGTAGGAGGGAGATGGGGATTATCACATGGGCATCAGACTCTCAATGTGGTGATGGAAACATTCTAAAACTGATTTATGATGATATCGAATCACTTGGTAAAGTGGTAAATTTACTTTAAAAATCATACACTTGAAATGAGTGAATTATACAATGTGTAAAAATGCTTCAGTAAAGTTATATATAAAAATGAATGCAAGGAACGAGAGAAGCCAGACATCAAAAATCATATACTATATGAATTCATTTACTTAAATTATAAAATGGGCAAAACTGATTTAAGTAGCAGCAAAACACAGGGATGTGGAGTATGGCTGGTGCAGAGCAGAAAGGGCCACATCAGAGGTGCTGTTAATGTTCTGTGTCTTCAGCTGGTTGTTGTTTAGATGAGCTGGGTTTGTGAAAATTCATTAAGTTGTATATATTTATGATCTGTGCACTTTCCCATATGTATATTATACCTCAATAAATATACACTATGTACACATGTATACCTGTTTGCAAATGCCTTTTCAATTTGAAAAGTGTAAGCAATTCTACATAAAGTAAGACTGTATACCACATACTCAAAATATGTGTCCAAAGAGTTGGGATGAGCATGTCATACAATATTCAAACTTCCCACATTTAGATGGAATTTATGTCCAACTATAAAGAATAACTCCAATAGGACTTTATATTGACAAGGGGATAGATAGCATAAAGTTAGTTTATCATCATATTATCAAGATTTCCTTTTTGTTTTTAAAGATTATTTATTTATTTCTGAGAGAGAGACACAGCATGAGCGGGGGAGGGGCAGAGAGAGAGGGAGACACAGAATCTGAAGCAGGCTCCAGGCTCCGAGCTGTCAGCACAGAGCCTGATATAGAGCTCAAACTCAGATCTTGAGCTCAAGCTCAAGATCATGACCTGAGCCCAAGTCGGACCCTTAACCAACTGAGCCACCCACACGCCCCTGAATGATCAAGATTTCTTAAAAGCATGTGCACCACATCTATGGGGAGGTTGGTGGGGAGCTGGCCTCAAGTACTGGGACATTTGGGGAAGCTTTAGAGAGATTAATAGTGCCCAACAAACACCAATAAGCTTTTGAAGCCAAGGCAGAACAGTATGGATGAAGTGTTATTGAAGGGAATCTGTTTCCTCATGTTCTTTTTTGGTGCCCAGGCACTCATATTTTATATATCTACTATCACTTTGGTCTCTTCTGGTTCCACCAATGCTGCCATCCTTCAAGGATCAGCTTAACATTCTCTCTTCAATGAACATTCCTTAATATTATCTAGCTGAAAGAGCTTTCCTTTTTTTGAACTCCTCAATAAATGTAAATGAGATAAAAATAAAATATTGAGCAAACAATCTAGCTGTTTACTTTTATCTGCCAAAGAGCTATAGTTTTGTGGGCAGGGACCATGCCCAGCTTATTTATCCACCAAACTCTAAAGCTGTCATGGTGAACTTCATGCTGTGTATTTTCAAGTGTTAGTGGAGTTAAAAATGGAAATACATCTATTAATAACTGAAGATAGCATGAAACATCAGCTGAATTCAAAATGTAAAATTTCTGCAGTTATCAGTTGCCAACAGTCATTTTCACATTTAGATCCTAAAGCTGTATATACCATTTTTTAAAACTCACTGAAGTGTGTAAATGTAACACAAAAAGAAACAAAAATCATTCAGAAATAAGAAAGCTTCCAAGTGGCATCACACAATTGGAGAGCAGATTTACTTATTCATTTACATAGCATTAAACATAAAAAGTTAGTTTTAGGTAAAACCAATAGAAAGTCTGCCCTCTAGAAGCCTACAATTTACTTTAGACAAGGCAATTGTCTAGGATGTGATAATATGGGTTTATTAATGTTTAGATACAATAAAGAAGGATGTAGATAATAGCAAGTGAGATTAGAAGTTCCAAGAAGGATAAAGAAATGTGCTCTGACACTTTAAGAGGTCTTCTAAGTAGGATAATGAAAGAAGAGGTAAAAGCACAGAACTTTCAGAGAGGATGAAGGCAAAATGGTATAAGAACACACTTGGATTTACATAAGGTGTAATCTGAAAAGCAGTGAGGAATCTGGCTCTCCTGGAGCAGATAGCAGACTGCATAGTTTTCCTGGGGAAAAACATGGAAATCAAAATAACTAACAGTTATTGTTATAAATACATACATAAAAGTAACAATTTTATGTATGTATTTGTTCAATGTGTATTCAAACATCTACATGGATAATATTTCATGCCTGTCCTTGCCTGTGACATCCAGCTAATTCATGAGGCTGAAGTAAGTTACAAAACCTTTTTAACAAGGTTATGCAAGGATACACAAAAACCTTTCACATTTTGTAATAATAATCCTCCAATCTAGAGACATGCTTAAAAATGTTTAGACACCAATATAATGCCTTTCTAGAAATTTAAATGAGAGAAAACAATAATTATCTAAGATAGTTTTTAGAAAAAGTTTCCTCATAATTTTAGTTTCAAATGCATTATTTAAACTGTACATATCATTATGAATATGATACATCCATATCATAATTAGAAATTATTAGCATTATTTAACATGCTGTCACTGGCATGACAGTGAAAGCTCATTAATTATAAAGCAGCTTAAACAGACATGGCCATCTCATCTCTTGGGAACTTACAAGATGGAACCTAATTTCATCTATCCAAGAGTCAAAAGCATTTATTTTGGCCAAGTGTAAATGTAGTACATTTAATAGTCAAGATACAACCAAGGAACTTGCCTCCACACAAAATCAACC